GCTGCTATTTCAGTTCAGTCTCTTAACAGATGAGATAATGTGGGTATATTTGATGATATTCAAATATCATCTGTGTGTTATCATTTGACTCAACACTCAAAACACTACGGAGTCTGCCAAGCAGATTTATATAGCTTGGCAAACTTTCATTTCATGAATGACACTTAATATGAAATTATTTTCACTGACTAATAGAATAACAGTCATGAACAGATCCTGAGGTGATAATAGATGGTACCCCTGCCTTTCGGAAAATGACAACCATCTCAGACATTTCCACATGATGTTCCTCTAACTTATAAGAAAAGGGGTCCCTGGTTTATAAGGAACCTCTACGAATACCTTTCTGCCTTCTCTCATCACGGACTTGGCCAGGGCTTTTCATTACCTGTGGCCAGTCCTTACCTTTTCTATTTGCTTGTGGGCTTCTTTCCATTTATCTTATCAACTACCTTCTTCCCTGCCCACTCTGAGCACAGGTCCTCTGAAAATGTCAAGGCAAAATTCTCTCTTTAGCTAAGAGAGTACAGGGCTCTGTAAGCAGCTCCCTCGGGCCTTCTTTAAAGAATATCTGGGCACTTTAAAGGCAGTGCTTTCCAACTGTGTTGGCAGGGGTTCTACAAGTTCTAGGGTGAGCTCCGGGCACACCCCAGGGGCGATTGCAGGCTTTCGGCTCAGGGTTTCCCCAGAGTCACTCTGTTTTTATTCAATTCCTATATTAGAGTCTTACATAAGATTCCACTTGGTGCTAAATATAAAACAAAAATGATGTCTATACAAATGTGTGAAAAACATTGCAGTAACTGGTTCTCTCTCCCTTGGGCTCTCTGAACCTCCCCCACCAGACTGTTCCCTGAAAATGGAGGTTTTTTATACACACGTTTCTTTAAAGAAGTTTACCTTTTATACCCCTTTCCAAAATGTGAAACATACCTAAATTAAAACAATTAAATATACTTATTTCTAACATGTCCCAAATAATTCAGATTTGGACACAGTAAATGCCTTCAAAGTTAAAATGTGTTGTACTCTAAACTGGGTTTGGTCTATTCTAACCCATCTTTTGACTTGCCATCTGCAAGGTTAGCATATAACTGCTATGTATTTTTGAAAGACATTTTTGTTATTGGCAAAGAAAAGAATGAAGCTGCCTCCCTCCCTTTACCTCTCCACATTAATCCGAACTCAAGACTGGCACTTAGTTGGGATTCTAGAATAATTCTTAAAAATTTAGCATAGCCATAATAAAAAACACCAGCTTCAGTGAGTAGTAACTAGCTGACAACTGAAAATGAACTGGAATTTTATTGACCATCTTGCTAATATGTTTTGGTAAAATAAGTTGTACATGGTAGTATAATAATCAATTTTTCTTTTTTTTTTAAATAGCGATCAATTGTTCTAATTCCAAAGTCAAAAAGAAATACAGAAATGCCAAAGATTCAAAGTGAATTAACTGCACTCCCAGAAGTCCCTTTAGAAATGAAATGTTCAGAGAAATGTCCAGACAATGGAGAATGAAGGTAAATTCTGGAAACCAAGAAATCCAATTCATTTCCTTCAGTTTGTAAAAACAAGCAACTGACCCGTTTCCTGCCAATGAACATACTTGCAGAGAAGAAAGCTCCCTACCGGAAATCCTTTGCTAAAAGAGACCAGTTGTGCCATTAAACCTAACCTTCCTCACTGGGTCCTAATGAGTTAAATATTTGATAATGTGGGACCGTGAAATAGACACTGAATCACCCAAATGATGCTATGCTGCTTCTGAGCTCTCTGTTTCCTACAGCCCTGATGCAGGTTATGAAATGAAGATTAAAATGTAGTTAGGAATCTTTCTATCTCATCCCTCCCCCCTTTCAATTTGTTAATGAAAACAAGGGAAAGTTGATGCTCTTGAGATCAAACTGTTAATTGAATAAGTCTTAAAACTGACACTTTTCAATTAAGACAAATACAAGGCTATGAATTACCATGTTGAAAAAGAAGATATTTCTAAATGAATATCAAGAACTTAAAATGTAAAGACGGCCATTGACAAGATCAGGAAAATAAAGCAAACACATTTGATTTATATTCACAAGGTTTGATGATGACCCTTAGTCAAAACTTAGGTTATTTTTCAGTTAGCAAAATAAATGAGTGGGGGTGGGGTCCTCCAAATTTTTCTCCTTTCTTTATTTTTCTCACTGTTACCAAGACAGTGAAAATAGTTGCAACGATTCTTTTAGGACCCTCTAAATTATCCTAAAAATTAAAGCACTCTTCTCCATCCACCAAAGAGGAAAGTAGTCTTAAATCAACTGAATACTAATATTTGCAGTTTTGAGATAGTATTTCATTTAGGAGTTTTTCCTTTCCTACCAAGAACACCCTCCCTCACACTTTTCTGGAGCACTGGACAGTCTGACTGTTTCCCCTGCATGCCGCCTCATAGCAGGGGCCCCAAATACCACAGTTCTTTAAGCTCAATTGCTTCAGTTCAACTTTGAACCCTCTTGCAAACAGAAAAGCTCCATTATACCTTCCCCAGATGACTCTTCATCTACAGGTAACATTCTAGTCTTTGCAGCTTTCAAGAGTTTGGGGATTTTTTTTTTTCTTTTTCTTTTTTTGGGCTAGCAGTTAGACATACAAATCAGTTTCAATCCAAAATTAAAAGCACAAAATACATTCTTCTGAGCCTTCCCTTTGCACAACTCAGAGGTAGCAAAATGCTAAGTAAGCATAAGTGCTCATCCTGGCTCTCAGGCTTTTTCCTGAACTATTTTCAATAAAAATACAGTTATGAAATCCAGGAGACTGCATTTTTGGTTGTTGTTGTAAAATGACCTTGATTTGACAGGCAGGATCTCAGGTTTCAACAGATGCTGTGGGAAAGCTTACAGAAGCCAGCGTGTTCTCCAGGCATCTGTGATGACATGCAGGGTGTTTTGTTTTTTTTTTTTTTTTTAAGTGGTGGTCGTGGTAGTGGATGTATATGTAGTGGTGGGGGGTGGGGTTACTCTTCTCAGTTTCCATAACAACCATGTCTCCACTCATGGGTTATTAGATACCATCCACTTCCTGTGTCTAAATTTTTAAACCAATCAGAAAAGTGTTTATACATTTAACAACTTCTGGGAGGGTGCTTCTTTAATGAGGCACTTTAAGGCTAAATGAAGACATCCACAGGCTTATATAGTCATCTTACAGAGGCAACATTTCACAGTGTTTACTAATTCATAGCCTTATATGCCGAAGAATAGCCTTTTCCATGGATATGAAATGCATTCTCCTCAAAGCAGATGCCACGATTTCTTATCACAGAGTACAAGCTGATTTTGATGGTGAGCTCTTCATTGTCTTTTTCTTTCACTGTCACAAGACTTAGATTTAGTGCGTGAAACATGCTAACGCAAAAGGCACTTAAATTATCAAAGTAATGATACAGTTAGGCATCCATCTGCTGATTTTGCTATTTAAATACTATGATCCAAGAACGGTTCGGAAAAATTAATTCTAAGTTGAACAACTTTGCATTCTACAACTTGGAAGCAGAAATCATTGATAACGTCTTGTAAAGTGATACATCTATCAATGGAAGCTAGTAGCTGAGGTCTGCAAAGAAATCTGTCACCAAAATGGCCTACTTTATCTGGATAGAAACAACAACCAAAAATTAAACATAAAGCTTTCTCGTGCAAACTGCAGCAGGATTAAAAAAAAAAAAAAAAACAATCTCGCAGAGACCCACGCACAAGAAGGCTCATCTGAAATTATGGCACGATTTTAAAAGAGGGTTTGGGGTGACTGTTTTCCTAAGTCTCAATCTAACTGACCAATCAGTGCAAGAGTTAGAGCGGGCTCCAGACATTGGTGCCGTCTTCAGAGCTCTGCACCCTCAGAGCTGCTCGCCCTGTCTAAGGCAGAGCTGGCGATCAATGAATAACCGGGAACAAAAGGAATATAACAGGATGTCTTTCTTAGCAAAGGGAATCGCTTTCCTTTTTCCTCAATGAGCGGGTCGCACCCTGCCTACGACAGCGCCACATGGGAGCTTCCACCAGACCCGTCCTTTGGATGAGGCACATTTTTGCTTTTGCAATCATGTGTCCCAACTGCTAGCAAATGTGTCACCTTAAGCACAGCCTGTGACGGAGGGCTCCCCGAGCCCAACCAATTGGAACTAATAAATTAAATAAATTAATAACCCCACGATTAAAAGCTCCGAGAAAGACCGTGCTTCCCTTTCCCAAATGTCACTCCCAGAGTATAAACAAAGCATGAAATACACAGTTTCTTCAGCCTCCTCGGCTGGCAATCGTGGTTTTTCCGCCTCAAAACAATGTTGCTCAAAAAAAAAAAAAAAAAAAGAAAGAAAGAAATATTCTTGCTGCTTTCAACGGAAACTCTCATCTGTCTGTGTCACATCAGGATAAGCAGCTACAGTATTTGAACAGAGGTTTAAACTGCCCACAGACCTGACACTCTGTTTATAATTGATAGCAAAACAGTTGCGACAGCAAAGCCTGCAAACTGCCCCAGCTAAACTCCACATTGAACACGTTGGTCCCTTGAAAAATAAAAGTCAGGCCGGGGGACCCCACCAACGGGGCTTCCCCAGGAGTCCTTAGCAGGATCACACCCAGGAGATGGTGATTTTTTAAATATCCATTTGCCGGCGATTTTTTAAAAATTGTTAGGTTTTTTTTTTTCCAAAAACACCTACCTACAGATTCCAGAGAAACTTTTTTTTTCCCTTTTTCTTTCTTTCTTTTCTTTTTTTTTAATGAACTTACTTTTGAGACAAAACTAATGAAAATAAAGCAACTTGCCATCTCCCTGGCTCTTCCCCATCTGGGGCTGCAGGCTAGAAATCCGTGGAAACTAGGTGCAAAGACGGGGGCGGGCCCCGTGGAGCCGGCCCCGGGCCCCGCGGCGGCCGGGGCGCGGGCTCCCGGTGACAATGCTAAACCGCGGCGGGCTCGGGGGCGGGGAGCGCGCCCCGCGGTCGTTACCTTCGATCGCCCGCCCCCCCGCCGCTCCTCGCGGCCGCATCGGGGGGCTGCGGCGGCGCTGCACTCGCGGGTGGTCCCGCCGCCGGGTCGCGCCGTCTCCCGGCCGAGCTGCAGCCGATCGCGGCCGGAACCCGGGCTCCAGCGCCCGGCGCCCGCCCGGGGTCGGCGGCGCGCTCCCACCCGGGCCCGGAGCCCTGCTGGGTCCTAGCGCGCGCCGCCGCCGCCCGCCCCGCGGCCCGGTCTGCAGCCCGCACGTACGGCCGGCAGCTCGGGAGCCCCGGGGAACCCCGCGAACACCGCCCACCCTCCGGTCCCTCGCAGAAGCCGCCGCGGTCGGTCGGTGCTGGGGGACCGAGGGGCTCCAATCCTGGATCCGAAGATGTTAAGTGACAGACGTGGGCTGCAGCCCAACTCGCGGAAGGCAGACGTTGGCGTCTGCAGCCCCAGTTGTAAAGCACCGAGGTTTGTCCCGGGCGCTTGGGTTGTCGTGTGCGTTCACACCAGACAGGAGGCCTTCCAGACGGGATCGATAAAGAAAGATTTCAGAAGTAGAATGCAAAAAAAAAAAAAAAAAAAAAAGGAGAAAGTTGAAAATTTGTGTGTTTAAAACCACGTTTTAAAGAGTTTCCCAATAACCCCACCCCCACCCCCCCACCCCCGTTAACAGGTCCTTTTGCATGTTGCTTTCTCTTACTTTATAATATGCTATTTTAAATAATAAAGCCCCATATGGCTAAGCACATAGTCATTTGATTTTCAAAAGACCTCAAAAATTGCATCAAAATATGCACTCGTGTCTCTCCTAAGAAATCAACGAGAGAGAATTAATGGTGGCATATGGCGTGCCTCATAGAGAAAACTTAATTACAAATTAAAACAAATGCGAAAATTCACAAATTTCGTAAACTGAAAGTAAATTATGATCCTAGATTGATACACAAATCAGCTCGTGTACAATTAGGAAGACTGTAAGTTCTTAGTTTCTTTTTCACAACAGGGGAGAGGCAGTTTGACACACATTCATATCAAATTCCCCTGGTTTGCCCCCAAAAGGGCTTCCAGCAACTTCTTGGCTCATTCATTTACTGCAGGCCACCTGGAAAGCAACTTTTCATCTGGTAAGTGCTCATTTAAGAGGACAATTCTGTTAGCTCTTAATTCAAAATAATAGTGCTTTGGTTTGAAAAGCTTGTTGGAAAGCCTTGGAGACTGGGAGTTTTCTTTTCAGTCTGGTATCACCAAGTTTGAAGGTCACAGTTCTGTAAAACTGCTCGTAGTAATGGCGTTGTGGTTTATACCAAAAAGAAAATCAAATATGTGCTTTCTGAGTTTTATTTTTGGAGCAGAAAAAAAAATCCCTTTGAAAAGTACTCTTGCCTTCACCCCTTCCAATTATAGCTAAATAAATGTAATGGAAGATTTTTAGTATTAATTAAACATCAAAGGCACCCCTTCTGCTGACTTATGTTGTACTATGTTACACTTGTAGATCTTCAAAGTACTGGAACGTGCATCTCATGTGATCTTTACCACACCTCTGTGAGAAAACAGATATTATAACCCCCAATTTTCAAATGAGAAAATGAAGGTCTCAGAAGGTGAAGGGACTTGTCCAGAACCACACAGCTGGTGAGCAGAGCAGCTGGAATCCCAACCTTGTCCTCTAGAACTTCCCACAGGTTTTTTCAAGTACATCAAGGCCTCCAGCTATTTCTCCTTAAGTGTTGTGGGGTGGATGAGGTATCCAAAACAAGCCTGCAGGTAGGGTCCTTTAGTCACCGTTATCTGGAGCAGAGCAGAGATTTACAGCCTGGAAAAATGAGGCTAGCTGAATACATGTTGCTCTCTGCTAAAGGAGAAAGATGGCTGGTGAGCCCTGTGCCCTTCAGATTTCTGTCCTGGGGCTATCCAGGGTACCCTGGCAGACGGTGCAAGGCTACATTCCCCCGGGTACCTTTCTGCTGGCCCTCAGAGACTAAGACCGGGTCCCATTTTACACACAGAGGAGTGAGATTTTCTCTGTGGAAACTGGTTATCTACGTGCCCATACTGAAAGGCTTTCCAACCCTTGAAAAGTCAAGGTGTTTCAGCTACAAGGCGGCCAACTGGGAAAACTCTGGCCTCCCTGTCCAGACCTGGTGACAGCTGGAGCCCACTGGGCCTCCAGGGAGTCCTCAGCCTCCTGCACCATTGGAAAGCTACCAGCCAGTCTGTTTATGGCAGTTCACTTCCTCCTCCCCCCTGCCTAAAGGAAACATTAACTTCTCTTGTTGATGTGTCCCAAACCCCACAAACAAGCAGGTGGGGCTAGATGACATTTAACCAGAAAGATAGAAACATTTTTCTCTGAAAAGTGATACATTCCTTTTTTGTGTGTGGTTCATGAGGAAGGAACTAGACATGGCCCAGTAGGGAAGATACATACATGCAGCCCCTCCTGGGGAACTACTTAGAAGGCTTAATGCAAAACTTACTTGATGGGCTGGGAGTATGTGATGGCCGCAAAGTATGGCAGAGGGAAGCGACTCACATCACCATCAGGAAGCCGTGAGGGACTCCACTCACCAGATACCAATTCATATTCCAAAGCTCAGTTGGTAAAGTGCTTCCCTCACATGCACAAGGCCCTGGGTTCAAACCTCAACACAAAACAAAACAACAACAAAGAAACTATTTGATGAACTCCCACGACCCCTTTATTGAAAACCAGTGTAATTTATGGTCACACCATTCATGTGGCCTTCAAATGTTGCAAATGCTGGGCCCAAACTCAGTACAGATAGGAGGTGAGGAGATGCTGAGAAGAAGCCAGCTGGTGAGCAGTTCCTTAAAGTTAGAACACACCCGGAGAAGTACTGGGGAGAAAGCTGCTCATTCATTCGTTCATTCACCCAATTATGAAGATATCTGTTTAGTCAGCTTTTTTGCTGCTATGACTAAAAGACCCGACAAATGTAGAGGAGAAAAGTTTATTTGAGGGCTCACAGTTTCAGAGGTCTTAGTCCACAGAAGGCCAGCTTCATTTCTTGGGGCTCAAGGTGGGGCCGAATATCATGGCGGGAGAGTATGGCAGAGGGAAGCGACACACATCACCAACAGGAAGCTGTGAGGGACTCCACTCACCAGACACTAACACATACTCCAAAGCCACGCCCCAATTCCCACCTCCTCCAGCCACACCCTACCACTTGGTTAGCACTAAGTAAATCCCTATCAGGGGATTAATTCACTGATTGGGTTAAGGCTCTCATAACCCACTCATTTCTTCTCTGAATCTTCTTGCATTGTCTCTCACATGAGCTTTTGGGGGACACCCCACATCCAAACCATAGCAACATCACCTTGAGCAAGGTACTGTTCTAGTCCCTGGATATAAAATAGAGAGTGTCCTCAAAGCACTCCTTGAAGGAATCCATTGTGCCTTAAGAGGACCCTCCAGTGGCCCCGGAGGAAGTGACAGACAGCACACAGTGGATGGCCAGTGGTTTGAGTTGCAGTCAAAGCACGTCACCGGTGCCTCATGCTCCGTGCCCGCTGTCCCACTTCTGGACCAGTTGTCCTCTGAGCCATTCTTTGGAATCAATCTCAGCCTGCCCTCTCCTCTCTGTGGCTGGAGCCTCCCTTTTGCAGACTGAGGTTCCCAGACTCCTGGGTCAGTTGACTAGTGGCAGGGCATGGCCAAGGAGGGGCACTGGGATGAGAGTGGAAAATGGCAAGAAGAGACAGGTCAGAGACTCTCTTCACCTCCCTGTTGCCTCTGATGACATCACTAGCTGCGTCTTCTAGTGGGCGACCCTAAATCTGGGCTCAGGTAATACTGCTGCTGCCTGTGATCTCTCCAGCTCAGAGTGATCTTTCTGCTGGGACCAGTCTCTGTGTACCTTTACAGGGATATATGCAAGAAAGAGAAGACGCAAGTTCCCACTGGAGGGGACATCCTGAGCTTGACAAAGGTACAGAGGGATGACCAAGTGAGGCAGGTCAGAGTGCTCCGTGGAGGTCAGCATGGCTGAGATGGAGGTGTCACAGGAGGAAGTGCCGGGGATCCTGCCGGGGTGCAGGAAGGGCCCACATCCACCAGACTTGGAACTTGCTCATGATTTCCACAAGCCCAGCGCTGTCAGCCCCCTCAAATGTCCTCTCTCCAGTGTCTCTTGATCTTTCTGATCTTGCTCTATTCTAAAATTTCGTCAGTATACGTAGGGATTTTGTTATTCATCGTCTATCACTACACACACCAATAGAAGTTCTGCAGAGCCAGGAATCTTTGCTTTGTTTAGCGATAATTTATTAAAGTATAAAACATGATAAGGGGCCAGGAATGTGGCTCAGTGGTAGAGTGTTTGCCCAGCATGCGTGAAGCCCTGGGTTCGATCCCCAGCACCACATAAAAATAATCAAATAAAATAAAAGTATTGTGTCCATCTACAACTAAAAAAAAATTAAAAAAAAAACCATGATAGGTGCCCAATACATTTTTAAATGAATGAATAACGTTAGTAAATAAAGTTAGAAAAAAAGTAATGTGTATACACACACGGCGGGGGTGGGGGGAGATTGAGAGTAAGGATTTGGTGATTTGGTTCATACAATCATGGAGGCTGAGAAGTCCCAGGACTTGCAGTGGACAAGCTGGAGACCCAGCAGAGCTGAAGATCCAGGAAGAGCTGATGTTTCAATTCAAGGCAGGCAGGCGGGAGAAGTTCCCTCTTAGGAAGGGGAAGGGCAGCCTTTTGTTGTGTTCCGGTCAGGTGAAATCTGGAAGGGGCCTACTCACATTAGGGGGGCCAATCTGATTTACTCAGTTTACCAATTCAAAATTAATTTCATTAAGAAAAACCAAAACCCTCAAAGACAGAGTCAGAGCCATGTTAGACCAAATACGTGGCCACCTTGTTGCCCAGAACAGTTGACACATAAAATTAATGTCATAGTGTTATAAGGGACTGTTGAGTTTTGCAAGGATCATTCTAGGAACTCATGAAAGACAATTTAGATCTGTCATGATTTAGATGATAGGAGGCAGGGTCACCCAGAGGAGGTTATCATACACTGGTTCAAATGCAGACCTGAAGGAATCCATTGTGCCTTAAGAGGACCCTCTAGT